CTTTTCCATTGTGGTTTATCACAAGATATTGAATATAGTTCTCTGTGCTATACAGTAGGACCTTGTTGTTTATCCATTCTATATATAAGAGTTTGCATCTGATAATCCCAAACTTTCAATTCTTCCCTCCCCCCCCCCCCCCCCCCTTGGCAGGGGGGATTCTCAGTCCTGCCTTTCTTACACCTCGAAAGCTACCTTTATGGACCAGCCTCTCCCACTAGCTCAGTTTTCTTACCATGGCCCACACAGTCAGATGTATCTTTTCATTGTGATCTAGTCCACACACGCACACGTTTAAACAACTCCAGAAGCTTCACAAACAGTACTCCTGACCACGCGCCCTGCTGTGTTCTGTTGCTTCGTTCAGTAGCCCCGAGGACGAAGACAAGGCTTGTCCTCACAGCCAGCTCAGTGGCAGGGCCGGGGGAGCCCCGCCGAAGTGTGCCGTGTTTGTTCGCAGGCTCGGCCCGGTGTGGGGATTCAGTGGGGGTTTCCTTCATGCTCTCCATCCCCCCAGGCATCCCTCCCTCCCCTCCTGTCCCCGCCCTTCCCGTGGGTGTCCAGGCTGTGGGCAGTGGCCTGGCGCCACCTGCTGGGACGGTGCATGTGGTGTCGCAGAGCAGGCCGCTGTGATACCTCGTGAAGGGCCTGAGAAGCGCCTGAGTCCATCAGAGGCTTCGAGGCCCGGCCGTAAACCAGGGCACCCTGGGCCAAATCGCACCCGCTCCCTGGTTGTCTGTGGCTGCTTTGGAGTTACCGTGGAGCTGATTAGCCTCCTACAGCAGGCCTGATGGCCCACAAACCCTCTACTCTCTGCCTTTGCAGAAACCTAGTTTAAACCTGGTTTTATATATATATATATTTATTTTTTGGTTTCACCACATGGCATTTGGGATCTTAGTTCCACGACTAGGAGTCGAACTCAGGCCCCCTGGGTTAGAGGCTTGGAGTCTTAACCACTGGACCGCCAGGGAATTCCCTCACCCCGGTTTAAACAAGCATTTATCACAGGGCACACAGGGAATGCTAAAAGGTGCAGACTGCCAGGTTTGGGGTGGCTTTAGCCACCCACAACCTCCACTGTCCCTGCACTTGCTAGGGAGTAAGGATCCAGTCACTTCAGGGGCCAGACAAGGAGTGGCTCTTGCTGCCCGGACTATAGAGGCTGAGTGACCCCAGACATCAGGCTGTCCTGCAGGTTTGGGTGTGGGGAGGGGCTGACCTCTCTGCAGTCATTTTTTTTTTTTTAACATTTATTTATTTGGTTGTGCTGGGTGTTAGTTGTGGCAGGTGGGCTCCTCAGTTGAGGCATGCTGGCTCCTTAGTTGTGGCATGTGAACTCTTAGTTGAGGCATGCATGTGGGATCTAGTTCCCTGACCAGCAATGGAACTCGGGCCCCCTGCATTGGGAGCACAGAGTCTTAACCACTGTGCCACCAGGGAAGTCCCCGCAGTCATGTTTTAACTGTCCAGTCCTCGGGCATGGCCAGTGTGACCTCCAGCTCCGTGACAGTGGGTTTAATCCTCACAAATGTCCTGACAACGGAGTCAGGCACGTTAGCGTTCAGCAACCGCGCAGTCCTTGTAAACGGCCCTGCAGTCACCTCGCCATCAAGAGACGGACTACCATGTGATCCAGCAACCCCACTCCTGGGCATATACCCAGACAAAACTCTGATTCAAAAAGATACACACATCCCTATGTTCATAGTAGCACTATTCACAATGGCCAAGACATGGAAACAACCTAAATGTCCGTCGACAGATGAATGGATAAAGAAGATGTGGTACATATGTACAATGGAATATTACTCAGCCATAAAAAGACTGAAATAATGCCATTTGCAGCAACATGGATGCAGTTGGAGATTATCGTACTAAGTAAAATAAGTCAGAAAA